GGGGGGGGGGGGGGGGGGGGGGGGGGGGGGGGGGGGGGGGGGGGGGGGGGGGGGGGGGGGGGGGGGGGGGGGGGGGGGGGGGGGGGGGGGGTGAGATGCCTGTTTCTCTCTCTATTTGGCCAGGGTACACCATCACCACCCTCGTGAGTCACAGATCGCACTCAGCAATCCCCTAAACTTGATGTCGAAGCCCCTGAAACTCACGCGCTCAAATCTATGAAAACGCCTCTTGATCTTGCCTGAGGCGACAACATGAGTCGAATGGAAAGCCAATGGTTTCTGGTCACGGTTTTCAAGGGAGCGTCATCGCGATCTTGATGCTTCTGGACATAATAAGTTATAGTCGTGAAAGATCGTTCAAGTGAGTAAACGAAAATTTTGGGTTCCTGCAGAAATCTTGTTAGGGGTTGGTTTGTCTCTTGGGACACGCTTAATTAAGATTAAGGGATAAGAATGACCATATGGAAGAATGATGGTTATAAATAATTTTTGGCCACTATTTCGTTATGGTGTATATAAATAATATTGTTGTTGTTGTTGTTATTATTGTATTGAATGAGACGAAGGTGGATAAAATTAAAGTGCAAAGTGCAAACGTTCGCGGTGTGAATGGCTGGTTAACGAGGGTGAGTGCAGATGCTATGGTGAGCGTAAAGGGATGCTGGATGAGCGTAACCCCTGAAGACGACGCGGATCAGTCAATTCCTCGTTAGAAATTCCACGTAATCATATTCGAGCAAATAATTCGTTAGGTTCGTTCTGCGGTCTGTTCGTTAGTATAATTAAAATAAATTCAAATGACTTTCTTGTCCCTCGTCTTGCCATCTTACCCACTCGCCACCCTTAAAACCGGATAGCCAAGCTTCGTAGAGCCACGGAGCCTTGTCCCTACGTTCGGGGGTGTCAGGGGACCATTAGGTGGGAGAGAGGATTGGTAGCCCACGCTGTTGTCTCTCATCTTCATCCCTCCCTTCGCTCGTGTCTTCCTTCTTAAATCCGTTGATTAGTGCAAAAATCCGCTTACAAATTAAATACAGCCTCCGTAAAACCCCGGGCGCAGTGCCGAGTCGTCGCAACGCCTGTGGACGTCAAGAGAGTAAAGGAAGACGGTGCAATAAGGAAGGAGGACCGAAGGGAATAGGAAAAAGAGAAGGAAGCGGAGATGGGGCGAAAGCTGAAGATGGTGCAATGGGTGGGGTAAGAGGATGCTTTAATATCTTAAGTAAACCTGGCCAGGAGGAAAAAAGAAAAAAAGAAGAAGAAGTAAGTCGCGCCAGAGAAAAAAGAGAAGAACCAAGGGAAAATAGGAAACACAAGCAAGGAATTAAAATACGGAACGAGAAGAAACATCCTAGAGATATAGGGTGTGTCGAATACATGATTTATAAAAAAAAAAGTTCAAAATCGTACAATGTAAAAAAATTGGGATAATTTTGAAAAAATAATTATCACGATGAATAAATTATCTCACATACTTCACTGTACCGCGTATCCCACAGTAAATACGTGTTCTAGCTAGACCGTTAATTCGCGTATAATAAATGCCACTGATACTTAGAGCCACCCGTTATAGAATTGCCGTAAAAAGAAGCGAAGACCTGGTTTTCTTAATGAGAGTACAGAGTAAAGCTTTCTTTGCCAGCGATTCGAATATCGGATCGGCGTTCGGGTTCGCGGCCCGTGTAGACTTTTTTCCGGGAGGGCGCGCGCACTGAAATGCTTCTTGTGTAAGTAAAAATCTAAAGTGACTACCGAGATCTAAGTTTTAATTAGTTTATCTTGGCCGCGTGGCTATTGAATATTTATAAGGCATTGCTATATGGCTGGGGATGAGGCTGCGTCATGGTTAGAGGGGCGAGTGGGAGGGAGGGAGATAGAAAGGACGGAAGGGATTCAAGTAGGGAAAAGAGATTGAGAGAAAGACTCCTGGAAACCGTGGAAAGGGACCGGCTGGTGGTTTTGTCATCGGGATGAAAAATCTTGAAGGACTTTATATCCAGTGGAAGACAATTGAGGCGTCTCTTGATTAATCCCGATTCAAAATTCCCGCCAAACGCGATACTCGTATGTAGTGTTTTTTAATGTTATTTCGCTTTAATTACCACAGAGTGTCCTTCATGGATTCTGCACAGTTTCACCAGGAGCTACTTCAGCAACCCCTCGTCCTGGTATTCCTGACAAATTTATGTGGGTCCTGGACCTCTTTCTCGTATAACTCAGTGGGCGACCCTCGAGCAACCCGTCTTGGTCGTCGGGAAGCGTCTCGACGTGCAGGAATATCGCGAAACAAAAACAGATAAAACGAAACGAAAATCAGGGAAACGCACACGGGGTTACGTAGTGCGTGGTCCACGATTCAGGGGATGAGGATGCTGACGACAAGGACTAGATGACGTATATACAGTCTATACATACGTGTACGGTACTAGAGGGTGGAAGGAATCTATAAGTCTATAAATCTGTCTTTCCGCCAGTAAGGAAGGTACAAGAAGAGAAACTGTCGCATAAATTTACGCAAAAGTATAACAGAGAAAAAATTGAGGAAATTATTCTGAAAATTATTCAAAAGCCTCTGCCGTTTCTATGAAGTGTATCTAAAAATAAATGTAGCCGTTGCAAACGCGTCTGCACGACAATAAATAAACGTCGGTGCCTCTGGTTGTCAGTGCGATTAACGCGATTTGCAAATCAAAATAAAACGTCGACAATTCCGCAACGAAACGTCCTAGCTAGGAATACAATTAGCGCGGAACACGTATAGCTGCGAAATGGCGGGAATTTCGAAATGGCTGACCGATACAAGGCTCGCTTACCGCAACTCGGCTGCTCGATTCGCATTGAAGCGATTGGTACGTGTGTTTCGCACGTGCAGTTGGCATGCCTGGATTTTTCAACTAACGTTATTATACCCCAGGGACTCGGTATACCTCATATACCATACCCAATGGGGATATTTCCCATGGACGATCTACCTACGTGCATTCCGACTTGTCGATTTGTATTTACATTTTAATAACACTTCACAGAGGTAGATACTAGTAGCTGTACGGTTATCACTGATAGTGGATGCTACATGTTTATGCGTCCTTCACCGTATATAGATATATTCATATATTATTTTATTACAGTATACCAGTGGATATTCTTGATGTTTCTTAGCCTGTACATGCTGGGCATTTAAATTCGACAGATTCTATATGTCACGTAGTATATACCATGGAAATCTATGGGGGAAGTTTTTCTGTCCTGGGGCATTTTCCATGAGCATTTCTCGTCACCCCATGCGGAAATATTTGCATGCGAAAAGGCACCCTCCTGCCTCACCTTCACGGTGATTCTTTGCGTTATCGAGTTACCCATAGGAAAGCTTGACGATTGTCGATGAATTTTTCGCGCGTGAAATCCTTGTGGATTTTTTCTCTCGTATGGTTCCGTAAAGAGGGAATGAAAATATTTTTTTTACCAGCGGCGAATCTTCTTTAGGGTATTACCCTAGTTATTGTTGAACTTTTGAATATTTAAAATTCTAGAAATATTTCATGGATTTCATATACATAGTTTTCCGTGATACCTGGATATGTTGTCCGTAATGGGGGTTGAGGCACGTTTGGTGCCTGGTCGGTCCTTCGAAAATCATCCCCTGCCTCTCGCACCCAGCCTTGTATGGTTTTGGAGGTTGATATTGGTGGTTGATTATCAATTTTCTACCAATTTGACTCCACTTGTAGCGGCGCCGGCTTTTGTCCCGCTAATCACCCCTTGGGTCCTATTCTCCCTGTTCTGCGTGTCCGCACCCTCTCGCTGTCCTGATCTGCTTTGCATATTACCATGCAATAATAGGTATATCATCCAGGAACACATAGATGGGTATCAGGGATGGTTTTATTCATATTTTTTTTTTCCATCATCCCCTCCGCCCATTGAAATATCAAGGGTGGCTCTGGGTCAAATGTCAAATCACTGTGATATTAAAAACTAGAGAAATTCGGGATGAGAATCCAAAGCGCGTGATCCTGATGTATTAATCGAATTCGGCTCGAGTAAAAGGGTGATGCACAAATGAGTGATGCTCAAACCCTTAACGTGCCTCGCATTATCAAAATTCGTCGGATTAGCCAATAGACGGAATGCCCGGATACCAAAGAGAATTGAAAAAAAACTTGAGCTCCTCTTAGTCTCTCCTCACGATGGGGACATAATAAATAATGCTTCCGACTCCTGGACAGAAGTTTGCCAGTTTTGCACGTGTGTGGTCCCTCGTATTCGCAGTATGTAATACGCGCTCACGTTCGCGATTCCCGGTTTGGCATTGGATCGCATTCCTCCCGGGAAGTCGGACGTCTGTGAACGATGTGCCCCGAGCAATGGCGACGCCATGCACCGTGCAGGACGTCGCGAATTCTGATCTCGTACGGCGGCGTAGCTTGACTTCTGTGATCCCAAGATTTTTTGAAATATCCTGTATTGTGTATATATATATATATACACACACATATTACATAGTATAGAAATAAATACAAGGTTCTGTGAATAACGATCACTCATTTGTGGAATGGCGCGAAGTCATTACAGGGAGGGATAAAATTAATTTTTATCGTATGTACCAGGAGACGATACAAATCACTTCCTGAAGGATACGCGTATCACTGTTTTTATTCGATCAAAAATGAAGAGGACGAGCGAGGAGAGATGATGCCTAATTGGGCAGCGGAGTAACTTTTTTATAATAACCAAGACAGCTCGGTATCTCGACACCGTAGAAGCCTCATTTAATTGGCAGATCCTGAATTCGTCTCGAAGACGCAAGTATTATTGACGTCCCTTCCGGGAAATCATAAGAGGGAACCCATAGCTATATGGTTTCTTTTACCCGGTTCATCCCTTCGCCATAAACTCTCCTTTAATTCTATGGTTTGCCAAACAACGGGGGGATCAAAAGCTGACGCTTATGGGATCAGTGATCTGAAAACCTCCTGTTGTTTCAGCTGATTCTATTCTCACAGAGGGTTATACGTTATAGGCCACATTGAAATTATATTGTAGTTAAAGTCGTGAGAAATTTTTTATTTTTTTTTTATCTGCCGGCAAAAAATCATATTAGAATTTCTTATAAACTGGTATCAACATAATCCATGTTATTGATACGTATCAAGGGATACCTTGTTTCAGTTGAGTTTATTCTCACACAGAATTATACGTTCTATATGGTGCATTCGACATATTGAAATTATATTGTAGTCAAAGACGTGTAAAAAAGGTATTTTTATTAAAAGAAAAAAATCCTAATTGATCCTTACTAGCGTTTTTAGAATTCTTGATAAACTGACACCAACATAATCCTTGGTATTTGTACATACCAAAGGATACCTGGTAACCACTCCGACACTGTTCTGCATACAATGTAAGAATGCAATGGCTGCTTTGCCTCGTTGAAAGACTATAACCTAACCTACCCTTGGTACCTTTTTTCTTGGTACTCCGTTCTCTGAAAGTGGCTCGCGGTATTATTCTCATAGGAAGTCTCCGCCATAATTACGATCGCCTTCGAGTGTCTGGCTCGTGTCGTGCATAATAACGTCTTCCACTAGGAAGGATACCTCCATTTGGTAAACCCCGGCCCGAATGGTATATACGAGCCATAGGAGGAAATGCTTCGGGATATGGATGAAGATACCGGCGTTGTATTAGTACCAGATATACCGTATAGAAACAATATATTTGATATTGGTGATAATTTTCAAAAAGAATTATTCGAACGAGCAAGATTGGCCGACTGGATGAAGATACGTCTGAAAAGTTTATTCGGGGCATCGCCGACTATTTCTTTCCATGCAAATGTCGCTCGGTGAGAATGAAAGCTGAGCGGCGATTCGCAGAGCATTAAGCAGAACAAACGGCAACGAGCAACGTAGCGTAGTCTGGACGATAAAGAATCCAGGAAAGTCTCCTCTGATTTTTCTCCTGGAGGATGGAAGAAGAATACAGCGAGGGAGAGAGAGAGAGAGAGAGAGAGAGAGAGAGAGAGAGAGAGAGAGGAGAACATTAGCATGGAAAAAAACATCCCGTTAGCGGGACACGCGAATTATGCTAATGCTATGACGTTATTTCTTTTTTTAAACTCTATCACGTAATTCTGCAGTGGTTATCAGGGACGCGTTTCGCTGTGATTCGTAGGATACTTATTGCACTGCGTTCTGCAGGGGAGAGGCACGATTAAACGTAGTTTTAGATTTCGCTTGATTTACGCGTCCCTTATTTATAGTGTTTATCTTGTGATATTAGGTATAGTCGGTTGATGAATTGAATATTCTTTTTCGGACATACCAAAAATAACGAAGTCTCTGAGTCACTATTTACATGCGTATAAAATTCTTGCTGTATGGTAAGTGCATGGTTTTCGCACTGAGATATATTTTATTTGTCTATTGTCAAATATATTTTCTTGATTTTATAGAGAACCACGTGCGATTTTTTAATACCAGGATTTCATCGTTTGTGAACTGTCAAAATATTTCATTGAACTCGTGGACCGACTACACGTGACTTTAATAGAATTTTATTTTATTTCTTGCGTCCTCGGTCGTTCTTCATAACTACGAAGTCCTTTATTCCACAGATAAGGAGAAGCCGGAGATAATACGTTCTCCTAAAAATTCTGCGTGGCTTTCGGCAATAAACAGTGTATCACTGTTTCGCGGGACATTAAATGCCGCCGAGTTGAATTTCCCGCGAACGTTACGTAGCCGTAGTCGGGTAAGTGTAAAGAAAGTTAAATTAATAACCATTAGCAAAAGCGTCGCGACGCCCCACTGTACCGTGAATCCGATTTAAATCATGCGCCTCTAGCAAGATGCCAACGTGGCTGAATGGCTGATTACGATTTTTATTAAGAATTTTGGCAATGTCTACCGGACGACCAAAATGAAATGTAAAAGAAAAAGTGTTGCGCAACACAGAGTAGGTCGCACCGCGTCGTAGCTCACGATTACGACAATCCCCAGGACACGATCGACGACAACAACGACAACGAGGACTGCAGCAGCATCATTTGTTGCACCCAGCGACTGATGGATGGGAGGCCGCCCGTAATGGGAAACCCATGCATGGTCGTTCGCCACCCGCATAAAATTAACCCGTTCGTTCGCGTTCGTTTTAATTAACGAAACACCGAGAGCATCGCACGCCAGAGCGATCCTCTTCATGCCGCTTCCGAGAGAGAAGCCACATGGTCAACGATACGTATAGGGTGATCGTTAATATCGTAAAGAAAAAAAAAATTATCACCCTGAAAAAAAAGGTCTAATGAATATATAAGGTAATATAATTATATATTTAAAAAAAATTTTTATACGATAACAAAAACTTTTTTTGAAAACTATAAATATACACCATAGGAATTCAACTACATCTTCGAGCATCAATCGTGCAAGGATTGTTAATTACTCGGCGTGCTTTTCCAATGGATTCCCATAGGTTCTATAAGGTGAAAGAGTTCCTGGTGGTTCCAGGAACTACGTCGAAGAAGCCGCCATTGCTATACACACCGTGGCTACTTGTAAGGGTTGGCGAGGCACGATGATGTCTTTATCCCATATGGTGAAACGTGTGGTGGGATTCTTAGTCTGCACGTAGAGGATGGATCAGGCTTGTGTAAGGGGGATATAGGCGCCATGCGAGCATGCACTGTGCAACAGCCAAGGGTCCCGTGGGGTCAGACAGTCACGGAGTTAATTAGACGCTGTGCTTCGAGAGCTCACGTGGCACGAGGCTCAGATATCAATCGGTTCGCTGCCGAACCTGGATGGGAGTCATGCTGTAGGATGAAGGAGTCAGGATGCTGGACCACATCGCACTGCCATATTTTCCCAGCTCTTCGTATTGGGATAGTCGATCATTCATGGATCAAGATGATCCTTAGAGAAGATGCTGATAATGATTAATTTTTTTTTCAAATTTAATCCCTAGCCCAGCATCCATTCTCCATTCGTCCTAAATCAATTCCTAAGATCAGACTAGGCGCCTGCCGAGACATTCTCAACTGGACTTCCGGTTTTCTGATGTTGTTTGAGATTTTTGAAAATTGCTTCTAAATGAAGTATACTGGCATGTATACGATTTTGACGATTTTTTTTTGTCCGATGATCATGGTCCAAGCTTAAGGAGATACTGTCTCGGAGGATGCTGCGCAAAGAAACTAGTTTACGCACGGCTAACTCCACAGGGTTTTCGCCGAGTTAATTATCTCGACTAATTCGCTTCGAGATAGGAAAGCGGGATGGTCCTGGCTCTTCTCCGTCCATCAGTCGATCCAGTAACAACCACTCCAGCTTTACCTTTCCTTCCTGTTTCTTCATCTTATATTTCCACTTCTTTTTCTTTTCTCTCTTCTATCTCTTCTTCCTTTATCCTCCGGCACTTCCACCCCCTCCTGACCAGCTAACCCAACATCCCTGCTACAGCGACGAATCCTCGCTCGCTATCTACAAAAACCCAGCCACATTTATACGACCTGATTACGGTCGTTGCCAACTGTTAAATCCAAAGGCCTGACTCCACGGGTGGCAAACGTAAACTCTGCTTCTTATTCTTCTTATCACGATTCTCAGTCTCCCTTGTTCCTTCCTCTGCTCGTGCTGCCCGTATACCTTCGCACTCTATCTCACTGTCATTACCTTGATCTAAACTTTATAGGTACTGCCATCATCAACTTGCCTACTGGTAATACCATACAATTTTAACGTTTCATCCTGCCCTTGGTACATAGACACGCTGCCAACATGTTTTTGGCTTCTGTGACTGTGTATATGGTAA